TTGTTATATATATATATATATATATATATATATAAATTATAAATGATGATAAAATATTTATTAATTTATTTTTAATTAAAATGTTCAGATTTTATATAAATAAAGTGTGTATATTATCATTTAAATACCTGCATCAAAACTGGAAATACAAAAATAGAACTCAATGTAAATCTGCTTAATTTTTCTTAAAGCTGTATCTTGCTGCCAAAGTTGAAACTCTTGTTTTGGTGCAATAATTCGTAGTTTTGTAAGCAGACGCGAGTATTTCCACTACAAATGAACAATGCATCAGTGTTCGGACGCAGTTTACGGATCAGCTGAAATGGAGGTTGGTTGTCCTGTGATCTGAAATGCTCACCTTCATTGTTACTGATGTCAGAAAAGTTCTGACTCTGGACGATCTTCTCCACGATGTCGTCTGCGTCGATACGCGTGTCGTTGACCCAGGTCGGGTGATCCTCCACCGAATCCTGCTTCCTCCTGAAATGAACAGAAGGAAATGGCAGTTGCATTTACTGTCGCACATTTCTGTTTCTCCCGGCTGACGTACCGTGGCGGTCTGTTGGAGGGTAAGAGGGGCCGCGGGGGTCGCGGAGGCCGGTCGGGACGGGTGTCACTCTCAGACGGGGGGTCGGCGCTCACGCTGCTGCCTGTAGACGTGTTCCTGCGATGGGTCAAATCGGACAGACTGGAGGAGCAGGAGTGTTCGGTGCTGTAGCCTGTAAACACAAACACACAGATCAGTGCGTTAAATACAAGCACGATCAATAAACATCATGCAACACTTCAAGCTCCACATGAGAAGTGCTGCAGCTTCTCAGAAGAGCGATTTTGTGACGTTTCTAGGTTGCAGAAAGTGTGGTACACCGTGAAAACCTGTATTTGAGCTTAGAACAGAGAAAAGGTCTGGCAATGGCGTTTTTCATTGATTCAAAGTAGTTGCTGAATGTAGAGGTCAACCGATGTATCGGCTATAGTTGATTGCTGGAACTATCAGCTATATCTGCAAGAATCCATGGCGATAGTTTTTCCTGGTTTCGTCTGTTGCTGGAGCGGCTAAAGGTCCGCTGTTATTAGACAGTGCAAGACTGACGCCACGTGCTGTTTGTTGACGCGGGACACTTCAGATGCGGATTTAAAACAGACAGCGAACGGTGTGTATACAGTACACTATAGTGCATGTTTTCATATCATTACTACATAATTAATTTGTTGACTAGATGTTGAATTAGTACAGAAAGATACAAAAAAATGTAAAGCACTATTTTAGTTTTCATTCAGTATCCAATTTAAAAATGGTTAAAAATCGGTATCGGCCAGTGTGGTCCAACCTAGCTATCGGTATCGGTATCTGTAAAATCCACAGGTGAACTTGGTCGACCTCTAGATGAATGCAAGTTTGTTTAATGAAATGTCATTTCAGACTGAATCAATCATTTTTACCTTCTCCTCTTAAAAATGTTCACCTTTTGTTTTAATTAAAGTGATAAATCTTGACAATTTACAAAGTTACAGAGGAACAAGTACAAAACAAACATCAGACAGCAAGTAAACAATAAGTACTAAAAATCCAATAGAACAAAACAAAAAACTATTATGCATGACAAGAAATTATATATCTTTATAAAAAATTTTAATTTTTCTTTGTAAAGACATTGTCATCATCAGTCAAAATCACGTGTAAAAAATAATGATGAATATTTTTTAGTATTTGTTACATTTAAAACTTATTTATAACATGATTTAATCAATGTTATTTTAGTATAATTGAGATAGTTTTCAGTATTTTTATTTTATATTTTTATATAATTTTTAAGAGTATTGTATTTTTATATTTACATTTTAATTTAAGTTAAAGTTTTAGTAATTTAAATTTAGTAATTTTATTGTGTTTTTGTCATATTAATTGTTTATATATATATATATATATATTAAAAAACAATTAATATGACAAAAACACAATAAAATTACTCAATTTAATTTAATTTATTTTTAATAAATAAAAATTTATAAAAACTAATATATATATATAGTTTTTATTCATTTTGATTTCATTTTTAGTTTTTGTTATTCATGTCAAGTTAAACTTAATGAGATCAAATAATTTTCATTTTAAATATGTTTTATGTATTATTTCAGTTAAAGTATATTTTATTTAAAGTAACACAGATATTTTTAATAGTTTGAATTTTTGTTTAATAGCCTAATTTATTTAATAATAACAACTGTATTTAATATTTAAAACATACCTAATCCATGTCATAAATAATTCAGATGCAAAATTGGACCTGTCTTTGCAAAGACAGACGATGCACGCAGCAATAATTTGACAAAAGCGCACAAACAGGCTGTAGCTGATGAGAATGTGCTGGGTGGGAAACACTGCCGCGAGTCACGTGAAAGATCTTTAAGTGTCTTTTAAGTGTTTTAGCGGCGAGCGCTCCTGAAGTGTCAGTAGCAGTATGTTAAACAAACATTCCCACACAATAGCGGCGTGTCGCCACCTACAGCAGGGAAAAAAGACAGGAAGATGTAGGCGCGCTTCCTGAATCAGCAACTGGCGACGACACGCAAGAAAACATACAGAATTCACTGGGATTTCCTTTCTTATGGACACACACACACACACCTGATAGTTTGCTCTGCTGACTGGCATAACTGGAGTTGCGTGAATGACCCGTGTGAAACGATTCATCAGGACTATGACCCTGATCCACCTCCTCAGGAAGAGCTAAAGAACAAAAACAGACAGAATAAATCATTCACAAATCATGCAGGAGAGAGCAGAAAGGAAACAATCACATAATCACATATTTGGAGTGTTATTGTTTTCTTTTTGTTCATATTAAACATGTTAAGTTTCTGTTTTCTTTCCTTTATTTATAAAAAAAATTCTTGAATTTCTGTCTACTGTCCCTTGTATTTCCATCCCTGTTGGCTTGATTTAAAAAATGTGAAGTTTTTGTTTTTATTTATTTATTTCCATTTATTTCTATGTATTTGTTTATTTTCATTTTATGGATTTATTTATAATTTTAAATAAATTTTTTGATTCTTCTGTCCCTTGTATTTGCACCTCTGTTGGCTTGGTTTAAGGTTAAGGCTTGATTTTAAAAATGTTAAGTTTCTGTTTTTTTAATTGGAACTGTCCTCAACTAAACCGAAGGGAGTTTGTTTCAATATAACGTTTCGTTAATAGAGTACATGTGCTCAATGATTAGTCAATGACTAGTCAGGCACTAAAATGAGTTTTTACAGAAACACTTAAAATTAAAGTTTTCATTTAGCAGAAAATTTAAAAACAACTAAAATCTTAAAATAAAATAAATTTCATAATCAACAGTTTTCATATCCACGTCGTAATGATATAACCATGTTTCTATTTCAATTCGCAGTTGGAATATAAACATTTAAATGGTGACTAATAAAAACTAGAATTCATGACAGATTCAAACATACACGAGCTGCTGAAGACATCGCTAACAGGTGAAGTAAAATATAATGAATATGTAATATAGTGCATATATTCATCTATAGAATTTTTTTTCTAGCAAACTAACGAGCTTATGCGCGTTGAACAGCTTTCCTGAGATAAATGTAACGTAACAGTGTTTTAATTTCCACCATTAAAACACTGAATGGGTGATTATATGAGACAATACATTTCATCTTTCAACATACCTTCTGACGTTCATTCGTGTTTATTTCGTGTTATAACTAGTAGTAAAGAGGAACAGATGGTCGGTTGACTTGTACCGATCTGTCAAGTCGCACAAAAGCATCAAAACGGCATTTATTGCTTGTATTTCATTATAAAATCTACAATCAATGAATCAATCGAATTGATTTAATAACAAACACACAGACATTTAAATTGCAAATAAGATAGTTTTATATCAACTTAATGATATAACCATGTTTCTATTCCAATTCGCTGTTGAAATCCAACGTATTAAACCATGGCTGTAATAAAAACTTGTTTTCATGACAGATTTATTCAAACATAAATTAGTTCATGAAGACATCACTGACAGGTGAAGTAAAATATAATGAATATGTAATATATTTTGGTGCATCACTAGTTCTTACCCGCTGAAGACTGCAAACATACGGGATGGGAATTACGTTCACAAACACAGCACTTATTTACTATATAAATACACAAGCGTCAAGTCAAATATATACGCAAACACATTCACACAAACTCATGATTGTCTTTGAGAATGTAAAGAGAAGCATGAACAAACAGTACTGAATATTCATGAGCTTCTGACCATCTGCTATGCAAATATACGTCTAATAATACGACTGAGGAAAGCCATCCCAGCAACTTTCAGTTTTTCATAAGAAACCACTGAGGTATTAGTTGATTTTAAATTACAATGGCAAATGTTGCATTAACGAAAACAGTAAGCAATCGCCTAGCAACCACCCAGAACGCCCTAGCAACCACATAGCAACGTGCTAAAACCACACAGAACTTCTTAGAAACCTCATAGGTTTCTGGGAATCCGGGTGTGCTAGCAGCTGGATAAAATTAACCTGTTGAATGCTATTAAAACAGTATGTCATCATGGATTTGGTGGATATAAACACACACGAGAAATCAGGACAGAACCAGAGCATCTCCTTCTACAAAACATTCAGAACGCTGTAATGTGGCTTATCGCCTGCCACGGCATCTGTTCCTAATCCTTCTTCACACACACACACACACACACACACTTCATACCGCACTGAGGAGCGGCATTAGTGTGACTCAGTTTCATCTTCTCGGACTAAAACAAACTTCATGCATGTTTGCTTACACTCACACACATTCATCTACATGAGGACACACACCACCACACACTTGTTTTATATAAAGCTAATTAACTAGAGACTGACCCAAACCAAAACCCTGTGCTCTGTTTGGGGCCTCAGAGAGACTGTGGCATTTAATAACTCAAGCATACTTAAAAACACACTTAAAATGTGTTTTAGGGGTTGAACAGAAACAACTCAACTAGAAATGATAAACATAAATAGTCATATTTGTCACGTGCATGTGTAGCTTCTGATTCCACAGATGGATTAAAGCTTTAACGCCTGTTCGATGGGTTTTATGAGGTCAGACACTCTTAATGTATAACAAGAACTTTAAGGGAGAAAAATTGTTAAAACAATACAAATTTATATATAAAATTTATCATACTTAAAAACACACTTAAAATGTGTTTTAGGGGTTGAACAGAAACAACTCAACTAGAAATGATAAACATAACTAGTCATATTTGTCAAGTGCATGTGTAGCTTCTGATTCCACAGATGGATTAAAGCTTTAACGCCTGTTCGATGGGTTTTATGAGGTCAGACACTCTTAATGTATAACAAGAACTTTAAGGGAGAAAAATTGTTAAAACAATACAAATTTATATATAAAATTTAATGAAATACTATATATATAAATACTGTATATATATTTTTATGTACACTTTTAATCAGCAAGGATGCATTAAATGACAGTAAAGGCATTTATAATGTTACAAAAGATTTCTATTTTAAGTAAACGCTTTCATTTCTATTCATCAGAGAATCCTGAAAAATAAAATGTATCAGTTTCCATAAAAATATTCAGCAGCACAACTGTTTTCAACATTGATGATAATCAGAAATGTTTCTCGAGCAGCAAATCAGCATATTATACTGATTTCTGAAGATCATGTGACACTGAAGACTGGAGGAATGATGCTGAAAATACAGGAATAAATAATATTTTACAGTATATTCACATAGAAAAGTTGTATGTAATAATATTTCACAATATTACCGTTTTTACTGTAATAAATGTAGCCTTGGTGAGCAAAAACATAAACAAAAAATACCAACCCAATCCTTTGAGTGCAAGTGCATTTTTACACATATATTCTCTATGACCCCAAACATTAAAAACAGTCAAATCAATCAGAACAGATCATAAAAGATTCATTTTATTTATGAATCATTTTCTGTTTCGAAGATATAAACACAAACACACACACTGCTTCCAAGAATCCTCAGTATCTGCAGCGATATCTGCCTATTATTTATGAAGCGGCCAATAAACGCGTTGAGGGTCATCAGAGGGTTTAGCATTGTACGTTTCTTCTGTTCCAGCACTTCTTGTTATCAGAGCCGCTCTGGTTTATTCTCTCCCTCCTCCACATTCTTCCCCAGCATTCCAGGGCCGTGGTACTTTGTTCTCTCACCGTAGTAACCACAAACACAGTAACACTGACGGAACAGGGGAGGAAAGAGACAAGGAGGACACCCATAATGCACTGAGAAAGAGTGAGAAATGTTTTTGACTTGGGTCAGTAAGCAACCACTTAGAAGCCACTCAAATTATTCTCAAAATCCTAAGAACAACGTAGCAACCATATGGCAACGCCCTGACAACACCCTAGTGTGCAACATTTGCATGCACTTTTTCTTCAAATATCCAGTATTTTAATGGAATATTGCTCTAAATTCCAATCCATCGATGCAACATCACATTTTCAAAGCACCGATTCCTATAACAAATACTCCCAGAAACAACACCACAACAGGCTTTGTGCGTTCTTGCGGTTTCTCCTTTCATGCTCGACTCTCTCCCACAGCGGCCGAAGCCAAACCCAAGCAAGCGCTGCTGAATGGACCAATTGTTGGGAGACTCAGAACAATTTAGAGCGTACAAAAGATCCATGAGCGAGATTCATGTGGAATAAATATGCATTAGCTGTGAGCCAGGCAGACTAGCAGGGAGCAAAGGTTTGCAGGGAGAGAAAAATGACAGGCAGGTGGATGAGATTCAAAACTCTTTATTAGGCAATGTATTCATGCAATGTTTCTGTAAAAATTTAAAAATATAACTATGATAATTGTGTAAAAAATAAATATAATTTTATAATACAATAAAATGTGCGTTTGTATATATACAGTTATATATATATATATATATATATATATATATATATATATATATATATATATATAATAATTAAAATAAAATAATATATATAATCTTGTTATTGACACTTTTATTCAGCAAGGATACATTATAATAATTTTTGTATTCGTATTGATTTGATATTTTTTAAGACTTAATAAACCATATTAAGCTACTATATTAAATAAAAACTATAATTAGTGACACCAGTATCTAATTGAATACATGTATTAAATATTCTTTTTCCATTAATGTATTTTTTTCATCATAAAAAAGCATTTTTACAAATATCATGAATGCATGAATCCATAAATATCATGTTTTCTTGGGGTTTGTAAATTTGAACTGAACTTGCTATATAACAATAAGGTCACATTATCTTTTTCTTCCAATAATTTAAGCCTATTAATGGTCTTTTTCTCAGAATCTTTCATGGTGGATCATTTTTAAACCCCCACATATTTATAAACTAAAATTCAATTCAGTGTTCATCAGTGTATTCCAGTATGAAATGCATTTTTATTATTAATGCATAATCATAAAACAAAAGTGTTCGATCGTTGATGCTAAATCATGTATGTGCGTTAGATGCATGGCTAATGCACTGAATATTCATGTATGCAACACACAGTAAGCCTGATCGTGTGTTGTTTCTCTTGAGATGTAGTGTGCTGAACACTGAACAAAACCCAGAATACAAAACAAAAGAGAGAGGCTTCATTAAAGAGAGGAAGCCCTGAAAGAGGACAGATCCTCCCCCGAGGTCTATCAGCAAACACCAGCACAATGATCGCAACGAGCCTCTCAGATTCAACACTACACCACTACCCCAACCCGCTCTATACTAACCCCAGCACAACTGACATCCAGACCACAGCCTAACATGCGCTTAATGCATCCACCTTGCAAAATAAAAGCATCAGAAAGCATTCTGAACGCAGTCCATGTTACTGACTGCTGCTGTCAGATGTGTGTGATCGTGTTTCGTGAGGCCTGTCGTTGGTCGATACTCTTCCCCGTCTGTTTGCCGATGATTCAGTCGAGCAGAAATGTGCTGTGCTGAAACAGGATTCTTATCTCCCATCCTGTAGCTCGGCCTGTGTTAGACCCTGACAGCGTTTGGACAAACATCCCCAGAGCGGCGCTCCAATCACACGGCCTGACGTCAGCGCAGACCTTCCTATTCTCTCTGCTGCATGACAGCGCAGGATAAGAGAAGGTGAAACAGACAGAGGTTCGGCTCATTTCAGCGAGGAAGCTGTTGTTAGGGCAGTATTTAGTATCATACAACTATAGTTGTTTTTGTTCATATTTTAAAGTAGATTCTATTTTCTGTTTTCACTTTAGTTTTAGTATCTTTGCATTTTTGCCTTTTTTTTAAAAATATATTTCCATATTGTTTAAATTTTAAAAGGGTCATATGATGCTGCTAAAAAGAACATTATTTTGTGTATTTGGTGTAATGAAATGTGTTTATGCGGTTTAATGTTCAAAAAACACATTATTTTCCACATACTGTACATTATTGTTTCTCCTCTATGCCCCGACTTTTTTAAACGCGTTGATTTTTACAAAGCTCATCGGTCTGAAAAGCGAGGTGTGCTCTGATTGGCCAGCTATCCAGTGCGTTGTGATTGGCCGAATACCTCAAGCGTGTGACGGAAATGTTACGCCCCTTACCATATTGTGATGATGCCGTGTCCCGGAGCGATGATTCAAAAACATTAAAACCCATTAGAAACGAGGCATTTGAGTAAATATATTTTTCATTTATTTTGCATATGCAATTTTGATTTAGTTAGTTTTTTATTATATTTGTATTAATTAAATTTCAAATATATATATATATTTTTTATACATTTTATTTATTAAATTCGTTTTTAAATTATAATTTGTAATTATATCTTTCAGTGTATGTTTATACATAATTTATATATAATTTATCATTTTTATTTATTAGTTTTAGTTTATTTCGTGTTTTTTATCATTTCTAATTATATTTTTTACGTATATTTCTATATATAATTCATAATTGTTATTATTTTATTATTATTTTAGTTTATTTAGTTTTGGTAATTATAATACTTCTAGTTAAACTAAACTAAAAATAAGATAAGTTTCCTTGGCAACTAGCTGAAATAAAAAAAAGGTTTTAGTTTTTTATATTTTATTTTATATTAGTTAATGTTTAGTTTATTTCAAGTAACATTTTTTTATATAATGTTAAGAATTGTTTTATGGTTTTAGTGTTAATATTACTACAGTGTTATTTTTATTAGTTTTTTTAATATATTCAACTTTTCTACTTGGTTTTTATTAATTTTTATTTCAGTTGTAATTTTAGTTATTTTAATACATCAATTTATCTCCCTTGCAACTAGCTGAAATAAAATCAGGATAATTGTTTTTAAGTATTTTATTTAAGGTAACAAAAATTTTTTTTTTATGGTTTTAGTTTTAGTTAACTATAATAACTCTGGTTTTAGTTAACGATTGAGATATATATATATATATTAACGCTAATAACCCTGACTTAGGGTTAAATTGCAATGCATTCAAAATCAAACTTTATCTATCAAATGCACAAAAATAAAGCATCCAGCAGCAACTACAAAAAAAAGAAAGATTGAAATCACAACACAGAGCATCTGACTCTTAGTGAAGACTCACTTCCATGACAATGATCTAATAAGAAATGTATTTAATATGCATCACAACCCTCTCCCTCAAGCGGACTGATCAAAACAGGAAGTGATAGCCGCCGCCGGAGCGTCCAATAAATGAAGTGCTCGTTCTCTCAGCCTGAACCCGCTCGCCTCCAGATGGGATGAGGAGGACCAGCTGTGTGCACTCTCCATTTTGAAAAATTGACACTTATGACTGGTTTTGTGCTCCAGGGTCACATTTAGTTAATTTATGTTATTATTTTATATTTATATTTACTATTTAATATTGTTTTATTTTATCTACTCAATATTATTATTCATAATAATATTAACATTTTATGAATATAATTTTTTTATTTCTCTGTTCAAATATTTGCTAAATGTCTATTAGTAAATTATTAATTGAGTTATTTTTGTAATATTTTGTATTCTTATTTTTATTTATCCATTTATTTAGTATTACTCGTAATAATATTATTATTTTGTATTATGTGTATAATTTACTTATTTTTGCTATTATTTAATTTTTTTTATCTATACCAATAATATTAATAAATAATATAATTTCATTTATTATTATTATTATTATTATTATTGTATATTCATGTTTATTTATCTATTCCTTTAGTATTACTCATAATAATATGAATATATTTTTATTATATGTGTATAATTTACATATTTGTGCTATTATTAAATTTTTTTATTTATCTATTACTTTATCATTATTCCCAATAATATTAATATATAATATAATTTCATTTTTTTTTTATTATTATTATTGTATATTCATATGTTTATTTATCTATTTCTTTAAATTTTTTTATCATTATAAGTTGCAGGTAAATCGGATATAAATCTAAAAAGCCGAACAGAATAACAGTTCTGCGAGAGCAGGTCGTGATTATTGCTACTAAGGGGTTCAAACAAAACTTGAATATCTTTTAAAGATTCATGAACCTGTCAAATAAATTGCAGCAGCCTGGTGAACATGAGGCTGTGAGTAAATACATAAAGACAGAGTCAGATTAAAACTTTTCCTGTTTTTGCATACAATATGCATCAAACTATCCATGCACAGAGGTTGAAACTACACATACTTAAAGATTCCCTCTAAATTAAATCAATGCATTGAGTTAAATCAATCAGCCGCGCACGTGACTAATTGACCGTTCTGAACTCTGTGTCAATCAATGAAGGCCACAAGTGACTTATGAAGCGGAGGTCAAAAGGTCACAGCACAACTGTAATCAAGCCGGCTGACTTTGCATGATTTTCAAATCCAGTTGCATAACCGCAAATCTGGACAGAAAGTCCGAGGCTGTATGTCAGCCCTTGTTCTGGATTTATCTATTGGACATCGAGGAGTAAGACTTCCGGAATGCGGACGATAAATCCAAATACGCTGATTACATAACGCAAGCCCCATAAAGACTCTTACAGTTCGGAGCCGTAAAGGCCAGCGACTGACCCTTTGAACCGCCCAGCTGCTTACAGCATTAAAGACACGTCTCTCATTACGAGAGGAAGCAGAATATCCGCTTTGAGTCATGATAAGTCCGTGTCGTGCTCGTTTGGTGGGTTTATGGCCTTTGAAACATCACTGATACATGCACAACGTAAAGCAGATGTTGTGT